TGATGCCACAATGGGTAGAACATATTTTTCTAACACAAATACATATGTCATAAGTCCAATTCTGATATACGGAAACAAAGTTATGCTAAAAATAGATTTTCAATTCTTCACTTATCACCGCCAAGTTGCATCTCACAAAATATAGCTCGGAATGTCATTCTGCTTTCTCTGGTTGTCTCAATGGATAGAAGTTATTTTTCTACTCCAAATGTATATGTCATACATCCAATTCTGATATATGGAAACAAATTTATGCAAAAAATAGATTTTCAACTATTCACTTTTCACCGCGAAGTTGCAATTCACAAACTATACCTCGAAAAGTGATTCTGCTTTCTCTTGTTGTCACAATGGATAGAACTTATTTTTCTAACCCAAATACAAATGTCATATGTCTAATTCTGATATACCGAAACAAAGTTAAGCTAAAAATAGAAGTTCAAGTGTTCACTTTTCACCGCCAAGTTGCATCTCACAAATTATATATCGGAATGTGATTCTGGTTTCTCTGGTTGTCACAATGGATAGAAGTTATTTTCTACCCAAAATGCACAAGTCATACGTCCAATTCTGATATATGAAAACAAAGTTATGCTAAAAATATATTTTCAACTGTTCACTTGTCACCGCCAAGTTGCATCTCATATTCTATAGCTCGGATTGTGATTCTGCTTTCTTTGTATGTCACAATGGATAAAACTTATTTTTATACCCCAAATGCATATGTCGTACGTCCAATTATGATATATGGAAACAAAGTCATTCTAAAAATGGATTTTCAACTATTCACTTTTCACCGCCAAGTTGCAATTTACAAACAATACCTCAAAAAGTGATTATGCTTTCTCTTGTTGTCACAATAGATAGAACTTTTTTTTCTAACACAAATGCAAATGTCATATGTCCAATTCTGATATACGGAAACAACGTTATGCTAAAAATAGATTTTCAATTGTTCAATTTTCACCGCCAAGTTGCATCTCACAAACTATATATCGAAATCCAATTCTGCTTTCTCTGGTTGTCACAATGGATAGAACTATTTTTATACTCCAAAGGCATATGTCATTAGTCCAATTCTGATATACGGAAACAAAGTTATGCTAAAAATAGATTTACAACTATTCACTTTTCACAGCCAAGTTGCATCTCACAAACTATAGCTCGGAATGTGATTCTGCTTTCTTTGGATGTCACAATGTAAAGAACTTATTTTTATACCCCAAATGCATATGTCATACGTCCAATTCTGATATATGGAAAGAAAGTTATGCAAAAAATAGATTTTCCACTATTAACTTTTCACTAGCAAGTTGCTATTCACAAACAATACATCTGAAAGTGATTCACTTTCTCTTGTTGTCACAATGGATAGAACTTATTTTTCTACCCCAAATGCATATGTCATACGTCCAATTATGATATATGGAAACAAAGATATGCTAAAAATAGATTTTCAACTAATAACTATTCACCGCCAAGTTGCATCTCACAAACTATATATCGAAATCTAATTCTGCTTTCTCTGGTTGTCACAATGGATAGAACTAATTTTTCTACTCCAAATGCATATGCCATTAGTTCAATTCTGATATACGGTAACAAAGTTATGCTAAAAATAGATTTTCAACCGTTCACTTTTCACACCCAAGTTGCATCTCACAAACTATAGCTCGGAATGTGATTCTACTTTCTCTAGTTGTCACAATGGATAAAAGTTATTTTTCTACCCCAAATGGAAACAAAGTTATGCAAAAAATAGAATTTCAACTATTAACTTTTCACTGCCAAGTTGCAATTCACAAACAATACATCGAAAAGTGATTTGGCTTTCTATTGTTGTCACAATGGGTAAAAGAATTTCTACCCCAAATGCATATGTCATACGTCCAATTATGATATATGGAAACAATGATATGCTAAAAATAGATTTTCAACTATTAACTTTTCACCGCCAAGTTGCATCTCACAAACTATATATCGAAATCTAATTCTGCTTTCTCTGGTTGTCACAATAGATAGAACTAATTTTTCAACTCCAAATGCATATGTCATTAGTCCAATTCTGATATACGGAAACAAAGTTATGCTAAAAATAGATTTTCAACTATTCACTTTTCACAGCCAAGTTGCATCTCACAAACTATAGCTCAGAATGTGATTCTCCTTTCTTTGGAAGTCACAATGGATAGAACTTATTTTTATACCCCAAATGCAAATGTCATATGTCCAATTTTGATATACAGAAACAAAGTTATGCTTAAAATAGATTTTCAACTTTTCACTTTTCACAGCCAAGTTGCATCTCACAAACTATAGCTCGGAATGTGATTCTGCTTTCTCTAGTAGTCACAATGGATAGAAGTTATTTTTCGAACCCAAATGCATATGTCAAACGTCCAATTCTGATATATGGAAACAAAGTTATGCAAAAAATAGATTTTCAACTATTAAGTTTTCACTGCCAAATTGCAATTCACAAACAATACATCGGAAAGTGATTCTGCTTTCTCTTGTTGTCACAATGGATAGAAGTATTTCTACCCCAAATGCATATGTCATACGTCCAATTATGATATATGGAAACAAAGTTATGCTAAAAATAGATTTTCAACAATTAACTTTTCACCACCAAGTTGCAATTCATAAACTAATCCTCGGAAAGTGATTCTGGTTTCTCTTGTTGTCACAATGGATAGAACTTATATTTCTACCCCAAATGCATATGTCATTAGTCCAATTCTGATATATGGAAACAAAGTTAAGCTAAAAATATATTTTCTACTATTCACTTGTCACCGCCAAGTTGAATCTCATATTCTATAGCTCGAATTGTAATTCTGCTTTCTTTGTATGTCACAATGGATAGAACTTATTTTTATACCCCAAATGCATTTGTCGTACGTCCAATAATGATATATGGAAACAAAGTCATGCTAAAAATGGATTTTCAACTACTCACTTTTTACCGCCTAGTTTCAATTTATAAACAATACCTCAAAAAGTGATTATGCTTTCTCTTGTTGTCACAATGGATAGAACTTTTTTTTCTAACACAAATGCAAATGTCATAAGTCCAATTCTGATATACGGAAACAACGTTATGCTAAAAATAGATTTTCAACTGTTCACTTTTCACCGCCAAGTTGCATCTCACAATCTATATATCGAAATCTAATTCTGCTTTCTCTGGTTGTCACAATGGATAGAACTTATTTTTCTACCCCAAATGCATATGTCATTAGTCCAATTCTGATATACGGAAACAAAGTTATGCTAAAAATATATTTTCAACTATTCACTTGTCACCGCCAAGTTGAATCTCATATTCTATAGCTCGGGTTGTGATTCTGCTTTCTTTATATGTCACAATGGATAGAACTTATTTTTATACCCCTAATGCATATGTCATACGTCCAATTATGATATATGGAAACAAATTTATGCTAAAAATATTTTTCAACTATTCACTTTTCACCGCCAAGTTGCAATTTACAAACAATAACTCGAAAAGTGATTATGCTTTCTCTTATTGTCACAATGGATAGAAATTTTTTTCCTAACACAAATGCAAATATCATAAGTCCAATTCTGATATACGGAAACAACATTATGCTAAAAATAGATTTTCAATTGTTCACTTTTCACCGCCAAGTTGCATCTCACAAACTATATATCGAAATCTAATTTTGCTTTCTCTGGTTGTCACAACGGATAGAACTTATTTTTCTACCCCAAATGAATATGTCATTAGTCCAATTCTGATATACGGAAACAAAGTTATGCTAAAAATATATTAAAACTATTCACTTGTCACCGCCAAGTTGCATCTCATATTCTATAGCTCGGATTGTGATTCTACTTTCTTTGTATGTCACAATGGATAGAACTTATTTTTATACCCCAAATGCATATGTCGTACGTCCAATTATGATATATGGAAACAAAGTCATGCTAAAAATGGATTTTCAACTATTCACTTTTCACCGCCTAGTTGCAATTTACAAACAATACCTCGAAAAGTGATTATGCTTTCTCTTGTTGTCACAATGGATAGAACTTTTTTTTCTAACACAAATGCAAATGTCATATGTCCAATTCTGATATACGGAAACAACGTTATGCTAAAAATAGATTTTCAACTGTTCACTTTTTGTAACACCCCAAATTTTAATCTTTAAAAATATAGTATCAGTCCTGGAAGCCTCGCTTGATCGAGAGATTCTCGCTTGAGCGAAAAAGGATCAGCTGGGAGGGTGAAATCCTGGACTATACTGGAGGATTCTCGCCTGGGCGAGAAATGGCAATTTTGGGCTGTTGACACAGTGTAATCGATTACACTCTGCTGGTAATCGATTACATCGTGTAAAAAGCATCAGATATGTGCATTTGACACAGTGTAATCGATTACACATTTCTGGTAATCGATTACACATTGCTGGTAATCGATTACACATTGCTGGTAATCGATTACACTCTGCTGGTAATCAATTACACTCTGCTGGTAATCGATTACATCGTGTAAAAAGCATCAGATATGTGCATTTGACACAGTGTAATCGATTACACATTTCTGGTAATCGATTACACATTGCTGGTAATCGATTACACACTCCTGGTAATCGATTACATCGTATTAAAAGCATCAGATATGTGCATCTGACACAGTGTAATCGATTACATATTTATGGTAATCGATTACACATTGCTGGTAATCGATTACACACTCGTGGTAATCGATTACATCCATCAGATATGCACATTTTTCACGTTGTAATCGATTACACCATGTTGGTAATCGATTACAACCCGACGAGACCTCTTTAAAACAGAAACCCAAACACATTTTTGGGTTAGAACTTCGAAGAGAAGAGAGAAATGAGAGCTTTTCAAGAGCAAAGAGCCTTAGGACTCATCTTGGAGCTTGAGAAGAGGTAAACCTCTTGTTACTAACTCTTTTTCTTCCTCTCTAACTTGTTTTGGGTATGTTGGATTTATTTTCAAAACATGAGAAACCATGGAAACTCATCTTTTAGAGTTATGGTTCCTTTTATGTTGTTTTTATCTTGTAAACTCTTAGTTTAGAGTTGTTATTTGATGAATGGAAAGTTTTATGGGTTATTCATGAAAAACCCCAAAAACCCCCCAAAATGAGAATACGAGTATAAAGAGAAAGAGATGAAATGTTAGATGTGGATAATGGCTTTGATGTTGTTATATGAGATGAACATGTATGCTTTGATATTTTGAAACTTGTATTGAAGTAGTTTTGGAAATATTGAAATATGAGATGTTATGCATGTTTTAGATGGTTGAATATTTTGTATGATTAAATGATGCAGAGTAAGTTGTTTATGTGATATTTGGAATAAATGACTAACATTGTTGTTATTGGTGGAAATGAGGAAAGATCCTAAGGTTGGAGGAAATCGCGGAGGAGACTTTTAAAGTTACTCGGAACCGATCCCCAACGCTCACCAAGGTAAGGGATAAGTGGCTCTAATTCATACTCACTTATGTGAATGAGGTATGTGAAAGAGGTAACGTGTTGGTAAGTTTATGGTTGTTACCCTACCCGAGGAGGTAGTGGTTTATCATTGTGTCCTACCCGGAGTGGTAGTGAACTATTTATCGTGTCCTACCCTGAGTGGTAGTGAACTGTTTATTGTGTCCTACCCGGAGTGGTAGCGGACTGTTATGGTGTCCTACCCGGAGTGGTAGTGGACTGTTATTGTTATCCTACTGGGAATGGTAGTGAAGTATTGTGTATGACTTGCCCTATGTGGTATTGTATATGACTTGCCCTATGTGGTATTGCGTATGACTTGCCCTATGTGGTATTGTGTATGACTTGCCCTATGTGGTATTGTGTATGACTTGCCCTATGTGGTATTGCGTATGACTTGCCCTATGTGGTATTGCGTATGACTTGCCCTATGTGGTATTGTGTATGACTTGCCCTATGTGGTATTGTGTATGACTTGCCCTATGTGGTATTGCGTATGACTTGCCCTATGTGGTATTGTGTATGACTTGCCCTATGTGGTATTGCGTATGACTTGCCCTATGTGGTATTGTGTATGACTTGCCCTATGTGGTATTGCGTATGACTTGCCCTATGTGGTATTGTGTATGACTTGCCCTATGTGGTATTGTATATGACCTACCCGAAGTGGTAGTGGATCATTAAGGGAAATTGCCAACCCGAAGTGGTAGTGGATCATTGAGAAATTACATACCCGATGTGGTAGAACCGGAGGAGTTAAAGAGTAAGCCTGGTGGCGAGAATAAGCAATGAGACAAAAAGATTTGAGATAGACGAATATGCATGCTATAGGATATATAGTATGAGATATATATTCTATAGGGTGAATATGGATGATAAAGTGGAAGATGTGAACAATGAAAGTCATATGCATGTTATAGGATATATATTCTATAAGGTGAATATGAAGGATGAGAACTGAGAATGTCACAATGAAAGTCGTATGCATTCTATAGAGTATATTGTATGAGATATATATTCTATAGGGTGGATATGAATGATGAGAAGTATGAGGTTTCGAAGGAACGTAGTAGGCGTGCTATAGAATATATATTATGGGATATATATACTATAGGACGAATATGAATAACGTGGAAATGAAAGAAAGAATATATGAACGTTTACATTTATTTATTTGTGGTTATGATTTATATCAATGCTTAATTGTATTTGAAATGTGGATTATCGTGTGATATTAGTTTTGAACTAATGACTTACTCCCTTTTGTTTTGTGTGTTGTTTATGAAAATCCCATTGTAGGTAAATGAAGGATTTTGAGGATGAAGCTCAATTAGGAAGCTTTTGTGTTTATTTACTCGATTGTCTTTATTGCTATTTGATATTGTAGTTGATTTGATAGTATTTTGGGATAAATGTAATCTGATTAGGATAATATGGTGACATGCAGTTATGGACGTTATAACTCTGGAAAACCCATAACTGGACGTATGTGATAAAGGCTATCTGAATGAATTATGTTTTTCCGCAACATAAATTTGTATGATAATATAATAGGGTAAAGAGTATTTTCAAAGAAAGATACTTGAGAGTTTTTAATGAAGGTGACGGATGTATGTAAGAAAGGATTAAAATAAATGAAAAATTTTCAAGGGTAGAATTTGGGTCGTTACAATATGGTATCAGAGCATAGTTAATCCTGCGGCCTAGGATATGGCCTTACATGCTTCTTTGTAATCTTTATGTGCTTGAACTGCTTGGTTAGCATTGACGGTTGTGTGTTTATGTGATGCTTGTCTAGTTATAAAATTAGTCTACTGACAAGTACGTGAGTGCAGGTACGCATGGCTGAAAGAGAAAGAGAAACGAGCCAGAATACTTCCGATGATCTCTTGGCACAGATGTTAGAGGTGCTTCAGGGTATGAATGAAAACTTACGAAATTTGAATCGGAACGTGGCTCCAGGTCCAGGCTCTCTGTCCCAAGCTGGATCGGAGACCTAATGTCATGCATGCTGGGGAGGCAAGGGACCACGGTCGGATGGTTACCCCAAGTGGCGCAGGGACATCGGGTGTTGATGATCCGGCAAGAGGTAAACGCATGGTGACAGGTATTCCTTGTTTAGTGTTGTTGATTCGAGAGCGACACACTCACTTATATATGATAAATGTGAAAATCGGCTGAAATTGTAAACTGAGTCATTACTTCCGACTTGGTCGCGTCGACCCCAATCTTTGTGCTGGTGCTGGTGTCGACGTTTATGTTCTAGTGTCCGATTGTGGTAAATGGTGTGATATTTACCCTAGATTCAGTCTGCTTGTCGTTATGCCAGTTAGATATAATTTTGGGGATGGACTAATTGTCAGCAAATCATGTTGTGATTGAATAGTGTTGACAAGGTTGTGGCGGTTAGGGATCTGTGCGAGATCTCTGACCAAGCTAGTGGTTTGGTGCCAGTGTCGGCTAAGAGAGTCAGGACCCTCCTTCGAAGAAGGGATCGGTATTCATTCAGTAAATGTCACAAGAGGGTATTTAAGAACTCGTTAGTATTTCGAGATGTTAAGATTTGAAAGAACTATTTATTTTGTCTTGGAAAGTGGACTTTCGTCTATGAATGATTGACTTTTATAATAAGTATACTTACAAGAAAAATGTTTAAGTCGGAGATACTTGTTTTCTCTTATGAGTTGTTACAGGTTAATTCCCTTTGTTGGCCTTAGTGTGTATGCGCACGCTAAGAGGTGAAACTCATATTTCTAAAATGAAATAGAGGTTGGATAAATTACCTAAAGGTCCTTGCGACTAATGTGTTTACATGGATGTTGACTAATCAGATGTATTATCATTTTGAGGTGACCTATGGTTGGTACCCCAAAATCGATTAAGTATGAAAAAGTTATTTTTGATTCTTGTGTATGAAACTTCTGGTCTATGAAATTTATTTTTTTGTTAAAGATGAGTACCCGCCGTAACAAATGTATATTGGTATTGAACACCAAGCTATGTGCGGGGATGTTGAACCTCAAAAAAAAAAAACATATTTTGGATCGGTAGTGTCTCAGTGTACGGTTGGGGTAAATGGTAGAACCTTTACTATAGTGTTGATATGCGCGACGATGTCCCAGTTGGATTTAATCCTGGAAATGGACTAGCGGTCATCAAAATTGTGTTTTGCTTAACTATGAGATGATTGTTGAGGTGAAGAATTAAGATCTAGTTGCATTGATATGTATATGAGTGCAAAAGAGTAAGACTTATAATGATAGTCGAGAAAAGAGGCTAGTTAAGTTACTTACCCCGCCAATGTGATGAATGCAATGGAATAGACGTGAAACTTTTGGTCTCGAATGATCGGTTCTTTTGCGGTAGGACATTGGCAACGCATGAAATAGTGGTGGTGATCCGAAATTGTCTGCGTTGAATGTGTACCGGCAAAAGTTGTTGTTGTTTCGTGAACGTCAGTAATTGCGGTGTATGGGTGTGGTGTAACCATAGGAGAGAAGAAGTTTTGGGTTGTGTCGAAATGAGCATGCGAACCTTGTTTCACGACGTGGTTGCCATGAGTCGTGGATTCAAACCGCTTTCGAAAATCATTTTTGGGAAAACTTAGCTTGTGCCTAAGTAATGATTTAGTATCATGTTGGAGAATTCCGAAATTTTAGCAACCATATCGGAATAAGTATGAGGTTGTTAAAAGTTTAGTGATATGAGACGCCCATGTATTTCTGGACATAATGCGAGATGGTTAATAAGTTTATATTTACTAACGGAATTGGGGTGACCAAACCGAACGCAAGTTGTAGGTTTGAATGCTGGTCGACTTGTGCTTGCCGATTGGTAACAGAGTACCTAGTTTTGGTGTGAATCAATGGTTTTATGGTTTCAGTAGAGGCTAGAAATTTGTAACTTCTTAAGACGATAAGATTTGATGGTAGAAATATTTGATGTAATTACACAATTACTGAATAGTTTGATTGTGTATAATAGATGAGGCATTAAGAGACTTTTGTGTAGGTATTTTGTTGATCGAGTAAAATGAAATTGTGCTAGATTCTCGAGTGGAGATGAAACTAGTTAGTGTATGACGGATGTTAAAAGATGCATTTAGATAGATATGGGATAAGGGGTTCCCCATTCGCTGAAATTCGAGAGTGTTATCGGGATTCTTAACGTATGTTAGGATTGATAGATGGATATGTGATGGATACCTATGGTTCTTGAAAAATGTAGAAAAGATCTTTAGTCTGAATTATGGTTTAGTTCTCATGGTATTCAATGTTGTTCGAGGCTAGGATCTTAATATTTGGACATTGAGGAGTTAGTTCATGAATTGGTTTGGTGATATCATGGTTTAGTGGTGTATGCCCTTAGTGACTGATTAATTAATCTTAATGGATTAGAGAATCGAATTGTGATTTTGGTTGAATATTCTTGTGCCTAAGGTCTAGGTGATGATTTTATTTTCCGAGGTATGTTTAATTTTCGGGGACGAAAATTCTTATAAGAGGGGGAGGATTGTAACACCCCAAATTTTAATCTTTAAAAATATAGTATCAGTCCTGGAAGCCTCGCTTGATCGAGAGATTCTCGCTTGAGCGAAAAAGGATCAGCTGGGAGGGTGAAATCCTGGACTATACTGGAGGATTCTCGCCTGGGCGAGAAATGGCAATTTTGGGCTGTTGACACAGTGTAATTGATTACACTCTGCTGGTAATCGATTACATCGTGTAAAATGCATCAGATATGTGCATTTGACACAGTGTAATCGATTACACATTTCTGGTAATCGATTGCACATTGCTGGTAATCGATTACACATTGCTGGTAATCGATTACACTCTGCTGGTAATCGATTACACTCTGCTGGTAATCGATTACATCGTGTAAAAAGCATCAGATATGTGCATTTGACACAGTGTAATCGATTACACATTTCTGGTAATCGATTACACATTGCTGGTAATCGATTACACATTGCTGGTAATCGATTACACTCTGCTGGTAATCAATTACACTCTGCTGGTAATCGATTACATCGTGTAAAAAGCATCAGATATGTGCATTTGACACAGTGTAATCGATTACACATTTCTGGTAATCGATTACACATTGCTGGTAATCGATTACACACTCCTGGTAATCGATTACATCGTATTAAAAGCATCAGATATGTGCATCTGACACAGTGTAATCGATTACATATTTATGGTAATCGATTACACATTGCTGGTAATCGATTA